TTCCGACAACTAGATTTGATTGAATTGATTCAGCGTGGTAAAAAGAATCGGTTCATGGGTAACACTGATATTTTAGTATGTACTAAGCAGGGATGAGTAATTTACGAATGAATTGATTCCCCAGATGATTCGATTGAAGTGATTTAGTGTGGTAGAAGAATCAGTTAATGGGTAACACTGAAATTTAGCTTATCTCGCAATAAAAGCACACCTAAATATACCATGATCTACGTTATCATTGTTATAGCAAACAATTCTAATTTTCTAAATACCATTAGTTCGAACCAAAAAATGGATAAGCAAGAAAACATCAGACCACTTTTCTGACTAGGAATATTTTTAACGGAATTTAAAAAACAATGCATAATAAAAAAATGTTATATCTGGCCCCCCAAATTACCAACAAGCAACTGTTACTATTTACTATCAAAAAAAATAATGATCATAAAAATCGTTGTATAACTATTTGATCTTTTAGTGTCTAAACATTATCATGATAAAACATTTTTCTCGTAATTAAGTTCAATATGAATAATTATTGTTTGAATCACTGAATTGATTCAAAGAATCGATTCATTTAAATGATCTGATTCGAAAGAGTTGATTCATCTGATCGAATCATATTTCCCATCACTAATCGGAACACTGATAAGAAGTTTGCCACCTTATCTTCTGAGGCCGTGTATCCAACTCACAATGATGAAGTACAGATAAGTGACGTTTATCAATTTTTTAGTGAAGAAAAGTGTTAAAACTGTAATTTATAATTCATTTTTTCTTAATATTTTAATTTTGATTTTCCAAATAAATAATTAACATTGGCTTGTTGTTTATTAAAACATACGCATTATTCAGATAATAATACGGCTTGAATAAAAAATTATTATTTTATTTTAGTAACTCAGCAGTTGGTTATAATTCTATAAGTATGGTTTTTAGTACTGACACTCCATTTTCAGTGATATGTGATTGGTCATGGACTGAAGTTTGCAAATATACTAGAGAAGCAGCTGTATTCTTGGATCAGTTTGCTGCTGAGTCTTTACACTGGCATGGAGGTTGTGTTTTGCTTTATAAAGCTGGTGCTAAGAGTATTAAAGAATTTTCTTCTTTCGAGGTATTAATTTCATTTTTCAAAATACTGTTTTTTTCTTTTTCAGCTCAACATACTTTAAATGCGTTTTATAGACAATTAGATTTATTTAAATGAATATATTTTTATTTGTTGAATTCTTGGACTGTATTGGAGTCTGGACAAACTAGGTAGTTGCTTAGAGGACATTTTATCAAATTTAATGATATTTAATATTTTAATACTGTTCAATGAATAATTCAGAATGGTTTGTTAAACTTGAGACCGATAAAGATCCATTATCATTTTAGTAGTATCAATTTACAGCATTAAGAAAATGTTTATAAGTATCAGGGTTGTGTAAAAAAAAAAAAACTGTTAAAAATATCCTATTCCTATGTAACCATTGTAAATTTTTTAATTTTTGGAAACAACTCTGACAAGTTATATTATAAACACAAAATTCACAAAAATTAAATAATCAAACCTATAAAATATTTGAATGTCTTGAATTTAACACACCGCCTCAAGTTGGCCGATTTGAAAGTATTATTAAATTAAGTTAAGTGTTCTCTGTATAAGTATGGAAACAACTTTTAGGAAAATTTAGCATAAATTAACTAAAAACAACAAATTTGTTTCTATTTTTAAACTAGTCCATTTTACCAAATTTTATTTTACCAATTTTAACTATTTTATATTGTGATTTATTTAAAATTTTCTTTGTTCTTGTGAGTTTTATTTAATTTTTAATCAGTAATCTGATGATTGTGCATTACTGAAACTAGTAGTTGCGTTTTATTTATACTTTTATGTTTGGCTTAATTTTATACTATTTTAATAAATTATTTACAAATATTTTTTATTTATCTTATTTGTTTTATTAATAATAAAAATAATACGGTTTTTAAGATATGTAATATTTTTAATAATTCTATTAACTTTTTAACTAGAGCGGAAACCATAAAGAAAGAAGATGTTTGATAATTGTTGGAAAACCTATTGATGAAACAGTAATGACTGTCACTCGTGATGTTTTAGTTAATAGTAATTTCAAATACTGTTGTTTTATTGTTGGATGTGGATATGAATCTTACCATAATCAGATAATAGAAAAATTAATTTCTGATATTATTATTTCCAAATATACAGTATGTTTCAAAATTTATACTATAATAATTATGTGTACTATACATATATTATAGAATTAATCAAATTTTACAAACAAATTTTAAAAAACCTATTGATGTCTAGGTTACTTAGTTACCAACACCCATCCATATATTTTTCTTTAGTAATGAAAAATCTTATCTTTAAAGCTTCCTATAATGTTTATTATTAGCATAATAACAATGTTGACAAGAAATCTAATACTTCAATTACATAATATGTTTGATTTTTAAGAAACATATATTAGAGTTATTTAAAGTATAAACATATTTCACTATAATTCATTTTTTTTTTAGCAATATTTACATTTGTAGAACTTTAAAATCATATTTTTTTATTATTTAAATTTTTCACCTGGTCTAAAGTTTTTACACCTTTTCTTACAAAAATTTTAATAGTTCAATGGTTTTTAGTTATTATAACCCATCAAAATTTTTTCTAAAAGAAGGTCTAAAATATAGTTATTTTGGAAAAATTAAATGATAAAAAATATGCTTTTATCATAGTCCAAAACTAATAAAATTAACAAAAATGTAAACATTATTTAAAAAAAAGAAATAACACAAAGTATTTCTTAAACACAAAAGTTATTGGACTAATTGAATATTAAAGACTACTTTATTTATGTAAAGTGATTCAAATATATTTACATTATAATATATGTATTATTCAATATTTTTTTTATAAAAAAAATACTTGGTTTAAATTACTTTAATGGTTTAGAGTCTTTGATGATGTAAAAAAGAATAGTTGAGGACTCTCAAATTCCCTTAGTCTCCATAAAAAATATTGTTTATTTTATATAGAATTGAAGTGCTAATTTTTTTTTCATCTGGCGTATATATGATAAATAGTTCTAAAATTATTAATTTTACAAAATTATAAAAATCAAAAAAAATTTTAATTCTCACAGTAATGATGCATTTGAGAAAAAATGAATTAAAACCTTTTTTTTTTTGTTTAAAATTTAATACTAAATAGTTTTTATTCTATTCACTTTTACGCTAACAATAATATTTATTATAGGAAAGGTTNTCACTTTTACGCTAACAATAATATTTATTATAGGAAAGGTTTGTTTGATCAAGTCTAAATTTTTACACTATAAGTTTATTATAATAAAAAAAAATGGTGGGTGACGTAGTAAAATAAATGCCAAAATTGTTAATATATTTTAACAACATATTTTTTAATATTCTTGTGCTAATTATTCAACTTTTACAATATCATAAAATATTGTTCTAAAATACAAAATATGTTCGAATTAACACATTTATTTGTATTTAGGATGGCACAGTAGATATTATAAATATACCAATATCGATGACCTGTTTATCACCATCATTGTTCTTAATACCTCATCTTCAAAATGTTCCTTTGTTTATTGAAGTAACTATTTATATATTTTATCACTTAATCAATGATTTTACATTTTTTTTTAAATTAAATTTAAATTAATATTTTAGAATGACCGTGATGCATATGCATCAGTAGTTGCAACTACCCTAAGGAATATATTTGAGCATCTTAAAGTAAAACTTGAACTTTATTGTGTTGGTCCATATAGTGAAGCTGTATCACAATATTTTTATAAAACTCAGCCAGTAACAAAAATATTTTATTAATTTAATGATAATTAAATTACTTATTTATTTTTTGTTTGTCTGATTAGACTTCATACACTGAATCAAATCATATCAACATTATATTAATAGACAGATTAGTAGATATGTATGCAGTTACTGAATTTTCATCAAATTGCCCTTTAGATAAATTAAATATGCTTCTTACAAGGTTTCCTGGAACTTGTTCAGATGTTTCAGTTGTCAAAGAGCCTTTATTATACAACGAAAAGTATGAAATAACTTTTAAAAAGCCTTATTTTAAGATTAAAAATGTGAAATTGATTTATTTAAGATTAAAAGATATCAATAATCAAGTACAAGTACCAATATGTTTAGCTTCAATTATGAAGCCTACTCCTATTATGGAATGGTTGTTAACTAAAAATGAAAAAGAATTATTGACTTGCATTCGTAATTTTATAACAGAAAAAACAACAGTAGGACCAGTGAGAAAAGTAATATCTAGAATTACACCTCAGTTTTTAGAAAGTCTTTTAGCTGATGAAACATTTGAATCAAATGAAAATATTGATTTTAAACAAGCGAGTGAATTATATTTTTACATCGTATTTTAATATTTAAATAAATAATAAATAACTATTATCTAATTATAATTTTTTTACATTGAAAAAAAAAAACAATTTCCAAATTATTAGTTATGGAAATATTCGTACTTGTTTTCACCCTAGAAATTGTGGATTGAAACTAAATGATATTTTTTTGTTTTGATTTAATAAATGATAAATTTTAAATAGTTATAGGTGTTGATCTACATTACAGTTATGTAAATGGTGATCAATAAATAATGCTCATTTTCATAATGTTATGTATTATTCAATATCTTACAAAAAAGATAATGTTTTAAATTTAGTAAATATTTTAAAGTAATTATAAAATATTATAATGGTGCTTAGAATGCAAGAGGTAAAAGTCACAATTTTTAATTTAGATAAAATTGAGTTAAAAGTTTTTACTTTCCATAAAAAAACATTTTTTATGATTTTTATGTTTTTCTATCATTTTTTTTTTCATATTTTATACTAAATAAAACTACTAATTTTCAATCTAAATATTTTAGAATATATTGTATATATTTATCAATTTTTAAATGTTTATAGCAAGTTTTATGTATTTGTGCTGCTTTAAAATTGCAAAATGCTTCCAGAATTGAACTAGCCCAAAACATTGAAAAACTTTTATTACAAAATATAGTAATGGAAAGTGATATTGATATACTATTGCAAGTAATATTTTACATGTATTTATTCAATTCATTTTTTTAATATTTTATTATTATTAAATAAGATTTTTTTTTTAAAACAATTAACTTATTAGATGAAGCAATTATTTCAAACAAGAAAAGATAGAAAATTGTCTTTAGAAATTCTTCTATGTATATTAGTTCAATTATATTCAATTATAGATCATGATTATGATATATCTGAAGAGTATCAAATTGAATTGCAAACTATGCTGGGTGCAGCATTATATGAAGATAAAGACATCCTTCCAGAATACATAATTAATGATATTATTGGTAAATGATTTAATTAGTGATTAGATAATTTTTTAGATGTTTCATTACATATTTAATAAAAATATTACATTAAATTTCTTAGAAACTTTTTTTTTCAATAACAATAAATTGTCTGATATTATTGTTATAATTTTAATTTATTTGTACTAATTTAATATTAGTTTAAGTTTCATTCTAATTGAAATATGAAAGAAAACATAGTATGTAATATAATGTAATACATTATAATGGGAAAAAAAATTTTGAACTTTATTTTGTTTTTATGGTGAAAACGAACATCAAAGTTAATAAAAAAAAGTATGACTTTTGTAAAAAAATTCTTTTTTATATTTTTAACTTTATAATATATAACTTTTTGAAAAATGTATGGATCAATATAAAATTTTTTTATATAGATGCATGATGTCTATGCCTATCATTTGGTATATCTTTTTTATAAATCTGACCCTTTACCTGCCCAGGGAGGGATTTTAAATGACAACTTTTTCAACTTAAATTTTGAAAGTGTTCCGGAAACTCTGACATTTATATACATATCTTAAATTATTATAATTTTTTTAAGATAAGTACTATTTATATTCTTCTTTTATGCAACATATTTTTTTTTTTAATTGGACCATTTCTCTTTATATATTTATATATTATAAATATATATATATATAAATATATGTTCATATATTACACTTATAAATCATAAAACTTGTAATCAAAATATTAATAAGGAAATAGGAGATCATGTTGCTTTTGGAATAATCCACCAATATTTTAAAATTAAACACTATTTACAGATTTGCATCGAAGCGTTTTTTATGATAGTGATTTTAATCACTGTCAAATATCATCTATACTGGACCCAACTTTGCCACGTCCCCACTGTACTGGGTTTTTAATTTTTGCAATCATGTACTACGTTAAAATTTTTTTTTAAATTTTTGTTTTGCAATTTTTAAACGAGATGTATTAGTTTTTAAAACCTACTAGCTCCTCATCAAAAATTGTTATCCTTTACTTGGCTCGGCTAGTAGGTCATTGTTTAGTGTTCCCCTTAGACATTAGAAAATCAGTTAGCCCATACTAAGAGCATACTGCTTACTGATCTATTTCAAGGGTACCAACAATATTTCTCTCTCACTATAAATACTCTTATTTAATAATATTCATAATTTTATAAGAAAAAAATTAACGGTAGCACAGTGGGGTCGCGGCATAGTAGAGACATTGCATAGTAGGGTCCAGTATAGATTTAATCTGACAGTGATTNGGAAATGGCCTCTTCTCTATTTATACCTATAGTACTAAGCAAATTATTAACTACATATTTTATATTCACTTTTACTAATTTGTAATTTTTTAGATCATCAAGTTATTACTCATGAAGTTTGTGAAGAAGCAGCAGAAAAATTCTTTTTTATTTTAAATAAAATAAAATTATCAAGACAAACATTTATGCAATATAAGTATGTGTTACTGTTTGATATTTCATAAGAACTATACTGCCTTGTCAAAGTGAAACACAGTATTTACAAAAATGTAAGTGTTTGGGAATTTCTTGTTTTTTAACTCTTTAGTTTGTTCATAGTATTGTTAAATATTACCTTAATCATTATTTTTTAGTAAATTATATAAACAAACATTATATTGGTGAAGTAAAAAAAGGTGAAATAAAAATCTGAAAAAAAATAGTTTCTTTTTCTTACTATTTAGAGCCAATTGACAGTGATGGGAAAGATTGCGCTCAAATAAATGTGTTCAGATTAAGAAAAATGAACTTAAAGTTGAATTTAGATTTATTTTGAATGAATATTAACATTTTTTCATACTCATAAATTCATTTATTTTTAAATGAATGAATTCATGAGTCACATTTTGGATGTACACTGGTATAATAGTTAAAAGGATATAAAATAAGTTAGAAATAGAGAAGGTATAAAGAATAAAGTGTTTGATACCAGAGTTGTGTTAAAGTACCAAGAGAGATTTTAAAGTGGGCATTAATGATAATGAATTCCCAAAATTTAATTTTTTTTCATTAATAAAAGATCTATATGATGGCATTTGTACCAGGGTAAAAAGTATGAACTAGTAACAGAAGATTTTATGGTAAGAGTAGGAGTGCACTAAAGTTCTGCTTTAAGCTCTTACTTATTTTCCATAGTGATGATGAAATTACTAGAGAAATACAAGGTAATGTATTTCTTGGTGTATGTTGTTCTCTGATGATATAATGTTAATAGAAGAAATTAATCTAAGGCTATAGGTGTGACTCTTTTTTGACTCTTAAAAGAAAAGGGAGTAAGATAAGTAGGTATAAGACAGAGTATATAGAGTACAAGTTTGACAGAGAAAAACAAGGGGTAGGTAAAATGAATAGAGATTAGTACCAATAAGTTAGGATGTGATAAATAAGGTAGAAAGTTTTAAATATTTAGGTTCAGTTATACAAAAGAACGGTGATATTGACTAGGATTTAAGACACAGAATTTAGTACAGGTGATTGAAGTGGAGAGAAGCATATGATATATTATATGATAAGAGAATTCCAATGAGGTTGAAAGGTAAATTCTATAAGAGTGTAGCTATGATGTATAATTTATTCAGAATGTTAGAAGGTTAACAAAAGAATAAAGTAGAGAATGAGTGCAGCAGAGATGAGAATGCTTAGATGGACGAGGGAGTGATTAAGAAGATAGAATAAGGAATGAACATATAAATAGGAGTATAGGCGTAGTGTCAATCGTGGATAAGATGAGAGAAAATAGATTTAGATGGTTTGGTCATGTTATTATAAGTGAGGAAACATAAGCTATATGAACAATTATGGAAATTAATTTTAAAGGAAGAATAAAAAAGTGATGGAGGGATGTAATTAAATGCGATATGAAGACTATTAATATATGCATAGATGATAAAGGAGATTGTTTTAAGTAGAAGTTTAGGATAATAACCACAAGTAGTTGGGAAAAATAAGAAGAAAGAATTTATGAGTACATTCAATTTTTACAGTATGAATTATAAATGTGAATTTAAATTAAATGCATTTGTTAAACAGTTATAAAAATACATTATTTTCAATTTTGATATAAATGTATATATTATTTCCATCCTCCAAACAATATATAGGCGATTCATTTATCATAACCCACTATATTACTTACAAAATAAAAGTTACACAAAAATTTGAATATAATTGAATTCTTTTCAAAAATAAATTAATTTTTATTACAAATAGCATTTGATTATTTTAAGCTCAATGAAAGAGAATGAGACTGCATTATTTTTTTAAATGAATTTCCCAATCCCTGTATAAAATGTTTACATTTTATTATAATAATTATTACTGTGTTATGTATATTACCATATAAATTTACTAGGCATAAACGTAATAATTACACATTATATACTGAGTTTTCTTCAAAAATATATTTCTTAGTGCTTATTTTTTTTTTAGTATTTGGTAATGTTTGATAGATACTATTTAATCAAAGCTAATTTTATAGATCTTAATGTTTTAATGCATTTCAACTCACTATAATGATGTAATATATATAAATAAACAATTTTCTATATCATTATTAAAAAAATTGTGAGTTACTTGGTTTCACTTTGTTAGGGTAATATATTTGTTACAAAACTGTAAAAAAATTAACTTTACTAGCATAAAGGTTTTTTTTAGTTATTTAATATCCAGAATTGTTTTTTAAATACATTAAATTAAATTAAAAATATTATTAATTTAAAAACTAAAAAATATTAAACTCAAAAGCCACAAAAAATTACTGAAGAGTAGAGGATAAGTATTTCCGAAATAATGTTACCATTATCAACGCTAATAACTGCCAAGTAAGTCAGTATGTTTTTAGCGTTGATAATGGTAACATTGTTTCCAAAATACATATCCGCGACTTTTCAGTAATTTTTTGTGGCTTTTGAGTTAAATATTTTTTAGTTTTTAAATTAATAATATTTTTAATATAGTTAAACTTTTATTTAATTAATTAGCTTCAAGTGATCAATTTTTATTATATGTCTTTTAAATGTTTAAAATTTTAGATTTTTTTATTTATTACTAGACAACATTTTTTGTCTTTAAATTATTTATATTATTATTAGAGAATTAACTATAAAAATATATTTTTAAAACAGATGAAATTAATTAAATACAATTAAGTATAAACACTTCATTATATATATACACTTATATACTGCATATATATGTGTGTGTGTATAAATTTAGAATATTAATAGTTTATTCTATTTAATAATCGGGCTTTACATAATAATTATTAAAATTATACAATAAATTACTTAATACCATGGAAAAACAAAAATTGATCATTAATCAAATTTTTATAATGAATTATTTAAAGCTTCTTGTATTCTATCTTTATATTCTTCACTAAATGGATTATTTTCTTGATTACGACACTTATCTAATTTTTTACTAACTCGTGATAACTCTTTAGTATGGTCATCCGAAACTCGAACATGTAATATTCTTATTCTTCGTACAACTTCAATTAAATCTTTAAGATGGTCAGCTCCTGTTTGACCTAATAACAAATCTGTTACATATGAATCTAAATTTTCTTTAATTTGACTAGCAGAGTGCAAAATTGCAGCTAATGCTAGTTGAGAAGGTGCAAAAAGTAAGCAAGCATCTGTAAACAATAATTTATCAATAAAGCTATCAATGTGTGGTCTCATACGATCAGGATCATTCATCTGTGTTCTTGTCTTAATATCTAAAAGAAATCCTTCTATTGCTTTGAACGGATGATGGATTTTGAGATTATATTTAATTTGTTCCATAAGAAATAATTCATTGTTTAATATAACAGTTGTTGCTCTTGATTGATTGCCTTTTATGTTAGCTACAAATTGGGCTAGTGATACATTAAACTCATCTACTTTACATGCTAAAAAGAGACATGTTACCATAATTTCTTTGGGGTGATAGTCCATTACAGAGTTATATAAATAAAATCTCTTTAAATAGTTCAACGCTGTAGCAAAAACAAACTTGGGCATGGGTGGTTGAAACTTATGACAAAAATCACGTAACATGTATTCGTGGCATTTTTGTACAATATGTTCTTCATTTACATCTAAAAAATAGTTTCTACATTCATCTGGACTCATACGTGAACCATAATTTGTGATGAATTTTCGGTTTGTTTCTTCTCGTAATTGATTTAAATCTGTTTCGTCTTTAAATATCCAGTTCTTTTTTTGAGTACTGATTGGAAACATAATTTCTTAATTACAGTTTCAGATTTTGTTAACTTATTATAAAATTATTATCTTATGATGCTATGCTTTTCTCAATTAAATTTTTTTCAAATTTATAAATTAAAAATGTTTTCTAATTAAAGAAAATGTTAAAATGATAAAAAATTATAATGAAATACTGCTGCTACTGATAATACAAAATTTCGTATGATCTGGACTGCTCAAAGTAGCAATTTATTTCCAAAAGAAAAAATTCTTTTATAACTGTTGATTTATTCTTTATTATCTTTGTAACTTTTTATGACACACTAATTCAACTAATTTTAATTTTTTAAGATGATTGTTATTTATTTATTACTAATGTTATTCTATGTTTTATTGTCTCACTAAACGTTCTTGGAAGAAACGATAAACGTGCCTTATCATTGTCGCTTTCATCGAGTTCTCATTTGCGCCTTTTTCACTTACGAATTTTCGTTAGTAAATTTAAAATTAATTTCATATCACCGCTAACCGAGTCAGTAACTTGTTTATTCCCTTAACCGAATATTCCTGAATTATCATTTTTAACTTGCCCATTACGTAATTTTATTTTCATATGCTAAAAACATTAACTCAACTAAAGGGGTTAGTGGGGTGGCTTCCTAAATTAAAAAAAAACATTTATTATATAAAAATATATTATAGTGAAAATAAAAAATAAATTTCATATTATGATTTTTCTGTTACAAAAAAAACTCGCTCTCGCTAGACTGATTTTGCTGACAACAATATATCAATAATTTTTGAAAATTATACATTTATTTTCGATTTTAATTTATCATTTATTATTATTTTATTTCTATTAATAATAAAATAAGAAAATTCCAATAATAAATATTTAATAAAAATAATGATTTAATATGTCATAAATAAATAATGAAATTTATAAGTATTCATTTATTTATATAAACGAAAGAAAAATTAGTTTCACAACTTATTTCCTGTACTTGACATGCTACAAAGTTTTTGTAAAATTAAGAAAAAATTATTTTAGTATAATATCAAATTTAATATTTAAGTGTTTTCATAATTTTTTTTTACATTAATTAAAATCTCAAAAATAATATATTCTTTGTAATCAATTCTTTTATATCAGAAAACTCTACACAAGAGAAAATTTGTATNTTCTTTGTAATCAATTCTTTTATATCAGAAAACTCTACACAAGAGAAAATTTGTATGTTCCTGTCGTTTATAACTCATTTGTCAAACAATTAATGAATGATGTATGTAGCCCCATGCGACCAAATTTATCATCAATCATGAAAACTAAATCAGATGGTATAACTGATTTAATAAAAATGGGTTTTAAGTAAGTATTTAAAACACATACTATGCCTTTCTCTTCTATCTAATTTTGAACTGATCTAATTTTAATTAAAATAAAATTGTCAAACTTATATAACTTTTAAATCAAAATCATTATTATATAGTAATTTTGAAAATACAGGGTGATTGACTAACTATGCCTCACGAATTTTCTTTAAAAATATTAGTATTATCGTATATGTAATTGTTTTATTTGTTATAAATCTTTGTTGAGCTACTTGACAAGAAAAATGAAGATTCAATCTTCATCCCTCAACCCTTAAATCAATATCAACTTTAGTTTTTCAAATAGCAACCCAGTTTTTTTTTTTATTTATCTTGTTAATAATAAAAAAAAAAATTTTCTCAAAAAAAAAAAAAAAAAAATTTTAATAAGTTCTAAGCGAGATATTACTATTTAAAGTTTAGGGGATTTAACAAATAAAACAGTAGTCGGGTAAATATAGTATCGTTATTATTTAGTGTACCGATAAGAAGTGGTAGCGCTTATCGATTTACGATCCATAACGTTCTCGTCTGTAATGATTTTTTCTTAATAAACCCTAAACTTTAGAGAGCCGTGGAGCGCTTAATATTTAATAAAATAAAATATTTTTTTTACAAAACATTTTTTTTTTATTAAACTAAATCTAATGGTATAAAAAAAAATAGTGTTGCCATTTGAAAATATGAAGTTGACACTATTTTTAAGCAAAAGGGATGGTGGTAAAAATTTAAATTTTCTCGTGAACACATCTCATCAAAGATCCATAATGATTAAAAAAAAAAAATTGTTTATATCTCTTATATTTTCAGAGATAATTCGTGAGGCATAGTTAGTCAATCACCCTGTATATTATCAGATCATAAATGTTCACTTATAAAATTTTCATATTTTAATTGTAGTAAAATAATAAATTCAGTCATCAAGCATCCATTAGACTGTGATCATTTAATTGTATTTGTGCTTGGTGGTATAAGTGGTCATGAGGTTCAATCAATTAGTGAAGCGACTAAAAATTGTGGGATAAGAGTAAGCATTGGTTCAACAAGTATGCTATCACCATATGAAGCACTTCATGCTCTATTTAAAAATTGTTAATATTATATTGTAAAATTATGTATATAGTATAAATGATATACAAAAAAAAAACCAAAAAATTACATATTTAAATATACATGAAGTTATAATTAACAGTTAATTTTACAAATTTTAATGACAATATATATTATTTTAATAATAATGCAAATTGTTCTTGGAATGGTATAAAGTACTTTGTTATAAATATTTACTCAATTATTTTTACTCTGAAGTAGAATTACTAAATGAATGCAGTTTTTCAATTGATAAGGAAAGCTGTTCTAAGCTAGCCATTAAAGAATGCATATTTTCGGATCCATTAATGATTCCTTGTTCACTAAGTGGTGAGGATCCATCTTGCCTGACACCTAGTTCAAAATGAAGCCATGCTAAGTGTTCTTGTTGTTCGCGTATAGCTGTCATTTGTTCCATACTACAATCCTTACCTAAGAAATAATTATGAATACCTTAATGATAAAATAGACTAATTTTTGAGTAATAAAGCAAGTCGGGGTAAGATGACGAGGCTAAGCTTCTATGATTTTTCTGACTTCTGTAAATTGGTTTAAAATATAAAACTTGCATGAAAACTTCTACCATATCTTGCATAATACTATAATTTTTTTTAATTGTTTCTTCCATATTTAATAAACAAAATGTGTTTTCCTAAAATTTGTAATTTTTATCATCTTTTCTCAACTAAAGTGTAATGGAACCTAACCCTAGGTTCCACTAGGGCTAATGCCCGATCCCTAAAAGAGACTGGTAGTTGGATATTTATAAATCAAATGTTATAACCTTTATAATTAATTTAATTCAATAGAATTTGTCATGATAGTTATCAAAAATTTACTTGGCATAAAATACTAAACTTTGTAAAATATATAAAACCCAACCTAACCATTATTATTTTTTTTACATTTATTTTATAGAAGGGTTAAAAATGTTTGGATATCTTTAGTTTTTCAAAAATATTTATACAGCAATAAATAACCTATTAAAGATTTATAACCCCATCAATATTTAACAATTATTCAAAGATAATTATAAGAAGTGAAGAGTAAATAAAAAAGTTATGTGATTCTTGAAAATTTGTAGCAATTTATTGAAAATGTTTTTAATTTTTTACTTCAGTAACACTGATAAGGTGATAAAAATTATTGTAAAAGAAAGGTTTCTAATGAATCTATAGATATTGAGTAGTGCTTTCAGAATTTTCAAGGGAGTAATTTGAAAAATTTACTTTAGAATGTTAATATATATAATTTTGATGTTAAAAAATTATATCAAAATATGTTTAATTTGAATTTCCTACAACAATTAAAATTAACATTTGGGCCATGTATTAATATTAATGAATGTATGATTAATTTTTAAATATACTGAATTTGTTAGCTTTTCCCATATGTCAATTCACTCTACTTTACCCTACATGAAAATTAAAATCTGATGATTATTAAATCATTCCAGGATAGAATGCACAACAAAGTTTATTATTTCTCTTTAAATATTTTACTATAATTATTCTAAGGAAAAAGTTTAGTGACATTTATATTTTAGTTGGCCGTGTGGTATAAATAATTACCCCAGTATTTTTAAATTGCAATTTGAGAATATTTTGATATGTCTTTCATATTGGGAATTTTTGTACCCTCTTATTTTATATTACTATTAAATTGTCTTGACAATTAGTAAGTGTGTTCTGTATCAGTGTTTTAAATTTGTGCAAGTACTACATTAGCAAATATTTATCCCACATAATAGAAATTGGTTTTTATTTCTAGATAGTTTAAGATAAATGTATCTAGAGTGCTTTAATATTAAAAATTATAGTAATTTTTAACAATAATAATCAAATAATCGTATATATACTTTCTATACAATATGTATATTATTAGATTTTACTGCTTAAAAAAATTAAAACTGGAATCACGAAATCAGGTAGGGGTTTAAAATATAAATGTTTTTTTTTAATACTTTATATTTAAAAATAAAATCTACTTAAACCTTTTCTTTGAATGATCCATCATAATTCAGTTTTATAAAGTAAATATTTACCAAATGCTCGCAATTTTCCTGAATGAAAGTCTTCAAGGAGTTGTTGAAGTGCTTGTTCCATTTGTCTCACATCTGTCACATCTGATAAAAAACAATGATGTAGACAACTTCTATCCATTGTTTGATCATATGATACTAAGGTTTTTAAAATTAATGGGATACAACAGCAACACACACACAAAATAAAAATAATAAAAACAAAATATAAGTCAAATAAAAAAATAAATGTTGGAGTTAACTAAAATTATAAATATAAAATCATTCTAAGTAAAATTCTACTTAAATAAAAATAGAAATATTACAAGACTAATGACAATATCTTATGCCTAGCAATATATTATTAGCTAAGAAATCAAAAAGAGTATTGCTTTTAATAAAAATGGTGTTTAATAAATAAGAATATGGGTTTACATAATTTTTATTTTTTAACATCCTTTATATTAGATACATTAAGTATTTAAATAAAAATTTTGAATTGAATTCAATGACGTATTTATTTTAACTAAAATATGAATTAAAAAGTGCATTATACAGTATTTTTTATCAAGTATACTGCAGTCCATTATTTTTTTTAAATAATGATTATTTCATATTGCTGTATATATTAAAGTTTAATTCATTTTTAAAAAGCATTATATGAATCAAGTTTAAGTAAGAAAAAATTATTTCAAAGGATAAATTTTAGGGGAAACTTTCAAAAGTTAAATGGGATCAACCTATTATTTTTTATCATTTAAGGGTGAGAATTTTAACTAATCGAAAACCAGTACTGTATTATTACTTTGAACAATATTAACATTTGAAGGTAATAAGTAGACTAGTATTAAGTGACGCTCCATGGCTCATGGCAAATGATACCATAATGATATGATAAGAATTCTTCTATGTTACGCTTTCCACTTTTTTTTAACTAAAAATCATAATAACTTAANTAAGTAGACTAGTATTAAGTGACGCTCCATGGCTCTACAAATGATACCATAATGATATGATAAGAATTCTTCTATGTTACGCTTTCCACTTTTTTTTAACTAAAAATCATAATAACTTAAAAAGTAATAATACAATAGTGGTTATGGACCTGTCAACATTTTATTTAGAATTTCCCCAATTAATAATGAAATAATAATAAGTTATCATTTAACTTTTAAAAGTTACCCTTTGAAATAATTTTTTCTTAAAATAAAATGGATATTTATAATGATTTTTAAAAATTAATTAAATTTTAATCTGTACATTTTTAAAAAGAAAACATTAAATAATAAAATGAAAGATTGCTTAATAAATCACACTGTATACTAAATATTGCCCCAAATGTTATGAATTTCATTGGTGTAAATAATAATTATGAACAAATTATTTAATGTTTAAAAGATAATTACTGTTACAATAATATTATTTTAACAGTATAAAATTTAATTAAATAAAGATTTTCACTGTAATTTTTAAATTCTTTTATTGAAGTAATGAGATTTTTTGGTTTTATGACATGTTTATTAGCCATTTTAGTTTTATTATTAGTTATTTTGGTGTAAGTACAGTATTAAAGGTGATTGATTTATAGTTGACTACTAAATTTCTCCTAAAATAATAATTTTGGTATTTTCTAATTTTATTTCTTGATTATTGAGTAGTTTTATGTCTTTTGTAAGTGTACTAACTTAATTTTATTATTTAAAACATATATATTAAACTAGTTTATATAATATAAAATGATACAGCTAAAAAATTGACTGGTCAATAACAACTTTTAACTATATCAGAAGTTTTAACATTTTTAAATGTAAACTAGAGGCGAGGTGTGAAGTGTATTATTTTTATCACATCACATCACTATACCATGCAATAAATCTCACTCAGGTATAATAATTTTTGAACTACTTATTTAAAATTTGTAATCAACCAGTCATTTTCTTAATACAATAATTCTTTACTGTATGAACTAGTTAAATATGTATGCTGCCATTTAAAAAAATTAAGTTAGTACCTTTATAAAGGATAAGTAATATTCATCACTCAAAAATACTTAACATTAAAATTAAACTTATCATACCCAATTCTTGACATCAGATCGAGCTGTGATTTTTTTTCTTTTTATCATAGTTAATACATTTTGAAATTTTTTTGCTTATAAATTAATTTAACTAATAAAATATGAGCAAAAACAAAATATTTTTATTTCTATATGAATTCTGCATTAAACTTTATAGGGTTATTTTTTTTGTTTTGCTTATTAGTTGGGCTTACAAAGTTATTTCAAGTACGAGGCCTTTTGTATGAGTACTCCTTATGTATTTCATAAAACTGTTTCTATTTTTTTATAAGTTTTTATTCACTCACTTTTATGTTAATTATAAAAATTAGTATTTAAAATGTTGAATTTTTTTTTAACAATTTTATTTACTCAATTTAAATATATACATTACTAAATTAAACAGCTCACCATACTGAATATTTAGTTAAAAAAAATGATTTTCATGCACAAAAATAATTTTTAGCAAATAAATAATTGTAAACATCTAGATGGTACACAATCTAATTAGTTAAACACATACATTTGGTTTTTCCATAATCAATAATAAGTCAATTTTACATATCTCACCTTTTTTATTTTGCAATTTATTGAAATTTGGAGGTGGTGGCCTTGGAGGTTTATAATCATGCAGCGAGCTGCGGCCTAGTCTTTCATTAACATATGTCAATCTAGCATTACTAAGATTATCTTCTAAAATTTGAGAGTAAATAAAAATTAAATTTATTATAGTAAACATTTATTTTATAAGTTAACATACTGTTCACATAACTTAGTGCTTTATCTTGAAGTAATGATGATGTACTAGATATTTTTGTTGTTGATCTATGAACCTCATTTTTTTGACTATCAATAGATAGTGACTTGAATGAAGTGAAAAAAAATACAGAATAAAGATTACATCAAATAGGAATTTAAAAAAAAAATTACTAACCTTATTACTTATACTATATGTATTATTTTTTACTTCTGATTGAGAATGAATTCGAGGTGGTGGTTTAGGTGTAATAGGAGGAGTTGTATCAATGTGAGAATTTTGTTTAACTTGTTTAGAGTTTTCATCAGGAATTACAATTTCTTCTAATTCACATTCTTCTTTCTCATCGGACATAATTGACTGTAATTATAACCTTACTTATCGCTAAAACTTATGAGCAAGCAGTTCCTTTAAGTATTTACTAAGAACAATAGTAAGTTATTACCATATTTTAGTATAAGGCTCAAGTCTTTAATACAGGTACACTCCATAGTACATATTTTGATTATGACATCTCATTTCGTGTTATCATAATGCATTTATAATGATAAACTTGTTATTAGAAAATTATATTATCTACAAATCACGAATTATGATTATAGATAAGACAGGCTACTCAATTAAACGTATTTTGTGAAATCAAACTGTCACTGGTAATTATCGTGTGAGGATACATCTAGCGCTTCTAGCGAGAATTTAAAGAAATATTTAGTTTGTACAATACATGATATGATAATTTTTAGTATATTTTGAGGGAATCGTTATTAATATTTGAAAAGTTGACATCCTTTTAAGTGTTCTTAAATAATATTTTTTCATTCGGAGGTAAAAAAACCTAGCTACATGCCTAGTTAATGGAGTATTTTTCTTTATATAAATTTTATTTATTATAATAAAATATCATAAGATTATATTATGATATTCTTTCGGTTGCTACCGCTTATTAAACGTTACATTACGAATATCACATTAATAGTTATTCAATAATGATAATAATAATATCTAATAATTTATTCATAACTATGGAAAAATTAATTTTATATATCATTTAATATAGTTGTTTATATGTGTTATATGAAATCTGTAACAATAATATTTAGTAATATAACATATACTAGAACCATCTACATACATTGTAGTTCTTCTTTTTCTGCAGTACTCAATCTAATGATTGGTTTGCACCAACTTCTATGTTTCTCTATCACTAGCCTTCCTCTTCAATTCTTGATATTAATTACTTCCTTGATCTTCAACTATCTGACTTATGTTTTGCAATCTTAGTCTTCCATCGATTATTCCTTCTAAGATTAATTCATTTCGCCTTTTCTGTATACTCTTCCATTATAATTTCCTATCAGATACCCTTTCTAAAACGTATTTATTAGTAACTCTATTAGTCCAACTTATCTTTTCCATCCTCTTGTAGCACCACAATTCGATACTTCATTTCTTCTCTTGCAATAGTCAATGTTTCGCATGTATATAACATGATACTCCAGATGTACGTTTTTAGAAGATTCTTTTTAATATTATGGTCAATGTTTTTTGAAGTAAAAAGCATTCTTTTCTTATTAAATGTCACCTTAGCTTAGGATATTCTCTTTATAATTTCCTTTTTGCATCTCCCCTCTGAGCTTATAGTGCTACCCAAATATATGAAATCTTCTACTTGTTGTACAGTTTCATCATCCTTTAATTTTATTCTTGTTCTTATGTTATTGTCTCTACTGCATACTAGAACTTTTATCAACTTTGCGTTTATTTTCATATTTAAATCTTTTTCCATCACCTATTTTAATGTTCCTAAAATCTTTTTCATTTTCCAATATTATTTCAATGTCGTCCACGAATCTCAACGTGTCTATTCTGTGACTATTTATCTTAATTTCTGCATCCTCTCTCTTGTAATATCTATATCCTCTTGAATGTAAGCATTAAATATTAAAGGTGATAATATACATCCCTGCTTAACACCTCTTTTGGATTCTTTTTGAATACTTCCCATTTTTATGATTGCTATTTCATTTTTAACATTGGATATAATTGAGATTGTTGGGGAATTAATTATTTATATTTTACTCAATTACAATCGACTAAAAAATTAATTCTTTTCGTCCTAGAATAGAGAATTAAAGTTTTTTGTATCTTTTTATGCAGTGCTGCTATCCACGACATTTAATTTACAGTAATCTGTTAGTATTTTAGCGACAGTGATACTAATTCACATAAACAAATGAAAACACACATTTGTTTTTATAATAGTAATAAGTATATCTTATCTGTGGCTTTACGTTGAAGTTCTCAGTTAGAAGAAAACTGTAACTGTAAGTTAATTATCAGAGAAGTTATAGTAAATAGTTTAGGTTTATTTTAGGAGAATTGTGAAAACTCTGTTATGTTAAATATAAACTTTTGAAAGTATAATTAATATATAATATATAATGATATTAAACTATAATATAGTTAAATTATAATATAATATATTATATTATATAGTTTAATATCAGTGTCATAAAAGGTTTACCATTCAAACATTTATTTAATAAATAAAATAAATGCAATTTCGATGAGTATATTTTGTCTGCAATACTTTTTTTAAAGTAATGTTTGTCTGAAATACTCTATTCGATTAAAATACAGTATGGTTACAATAATATTGAACAAAAATATGGTTTGATAGTAATATTTTTTGTTATTCTTGTACTATATGAATATTCTATGTATATTAGATACATTTTTCTTAGTGATAAGAGTATGATAAGAAATGAAAGAATTGGGGAACTCTGATTTCTGTATTTTACCCTTGATTCTCTTGTCAACATAATCTTATCATCAACACCTCTTAACATATTTAAGATTATATGCGATTATAGCGCTCTTTATGTACTCTTATTAAGGCATTAGAGTAAATATATTTTTTTATACTTATAGACAGCGCCAAAATTGCTGGATACTTGATAATACATGACAAATTCCAACCACGCCTTTTAACGTTAAAAACTTTTCGTGGCTCGACGACTCTAGTAAGTGTGATAAATATTCTTTATTATCTATGGGGATTAGACGCAATATCAAAATTTTTTTAGCTTAGTAGCTTGCACAATATTAAGCCATTACCGATGTATTTTTTGACATCAATTTCAAGAACACAATTATGACCTAGTCAATAACTTATTTCACTCGAAAAATTTTTTAAGTTACCTACCAAACGGATACTTTTTCAGCTGCCTTACGTAAGTTAGACTAATGTATTTAAGTTTCACATCATGTCACCGATTACTATTAATGAATATGAATGAACTTTTTAAAATTATCTATCTAATTGGAAACTTCATAAAATTTTTGCATTAATTTCAATTCTATTTTTAGTTGTACTTGTTATTTTAATCTTTAATTTACGTAAATGTGACATTTTTACTATTTAGTTCAATTATAAAATTCGTTTTTTCCTAAATTTCTCTTTGACCTCTATTATTCTGGTTGTAACTTTTGTAATAGATTGAATCCAATTGTCTTTCTTTCATAGAAATTAGAACAATTTCACTGAATTTCAAATAAAAGTTTTCATAATAGATTTACTAATTTTATAAAAAAAATTAAATTATCATTATCTAAATTATGTTTAAATTCAAAGGATTCTTTTATCATAAACTGCCTCGAAGTAACTATCTGAGACTTGGCTAATTATTTATCAGAACTAACTTAAGATTAGTTTTAATAAATTAATTTTTAATGATATTATCCATAAGGGATCAATTCTTATTATATAATTTTACATTGGTTTGCTACTAGGGTAAAATAACCAGTAAATGAATATTACTAGTAAACAAAAAACACTAATATTTAAACTAAATTTTCTAATCTGATTGTATAAAGTTATATTTAGTAGATTTTACAACAAAGAAAATAACTAAATTAAGTCCTATTGTATTATTACAGTTACTATATCATTAACTGTTCACTGGAATCTATTTTTATTTTACTATTAAAAGGTGAATAGTCTAAATAAAATTTTAATAGATCGATAAATAAATCACTAAATAAAAAAAAGTAAACTAATAAAAATCATAACAATGCCATAAGTAATAATATAATAGTTGTTAACAACTTGTCAAAATTTTATATATACCATTCTTTATTTAATAGTAAAATAATAATAAATTACTATTTAATTTTCAAAAGTTACCTCTGAAATCTACCCTTATTAATAATTTTTTTTACAATAAACCTGATATTTATAAGGGTTTTTAAAAATTAATTAAATTTTAATCTATACATTTTTAGAATAAAATCATTATTTTACAATAAAATGGAGGGTATGCTTAATAAATTACTCTGTATAAGTTTAAATTGAAATATGTTAATTTACTTAAATACATTTTTTATGTTATAGCAAACTCATATTATATATTGTTATAATATATAATATATAATGGATGATGACTCATTTTCTGACAGATTCTCAAAAAAAGCTAGTCAAATGCCTTTATTTCCAATAGGTAAATTAGTTTTAAATCAATGTACAATTATTATAGTATGTGAACTTTTTTGTCACAATTATTGAAGACTAGTGCTCTAATAAGATGTGGTCAAAAATTAATTTTTTCTATGAGCTAATTATTAATAAATAATCATTATTTATAAGTTTATATGCAAAAGTAATTTAATATGAAATAGTTTTTTGAACTTTTAAATTTAGGGTTGTAATATGGTGGTATCATTCATTGTTTGTTTGTTTTGTTTGTTTTGTTTTATTTTTTTATGATTTTATTCTTTTATAGTTTTTCAAAAATTGTTTTTCTGTCAAGATAAGGACGATAAAATTATTTTTAAGGAGTAATAGACTGTAACTATTGAGCCATTGAAACATTTTTAGAAATAAAGTAATAGAATAATATCTTATAGTAGACTAAAATCCTTAATAATGTTTACGCAATCCAAATATATTAATTAAATTCTAGAAAATCATCCTTATTCTCTCAATTTTTGTAATGATATTATTGTAAAATTATAGTTTGCTTACTAATTAGTAGTTATCTTAAAAACTTGATTTGTTATTAACAATCAGAATCAAAATTTGGATTCAATATTAAAATTCACTTAAAAATTTTAGATAGTAGAAAATTTTTCACTTTTTATAGTCCTGAATATTACTACATTCTATAGAAATCAACAAATATCAATTGGGATTATATATTATAAAATATAATTTAACATTAAAAATGTAATATTATATTGAATTAATATTTGATACATAAAAATATTAGATTTTAAACAATGTTATTATTTAATTATCACTCAAGCAATATCTTTTAAAGTCAAACATTGTAACTTTTTCTTTTTAGAAATTAATAGTATACTATGTTCCATAATTTTCAAAAAATAAATTGCTTCATTCCCCTTTTGACTTCTTTAAAATTATAAAACATTATTTTTTTAATTTTTTTAAACTATATATGTTAAATTAGCTTTCAAAAAAGAAAATTAGAATACCTAGAGTACTTCTATTGTATGTTTTGCTTTTTGTTTCTTAGATGAAAAGTGCATACTTATGTTTTATTTGGGTTTGGTTTTAGCAAGTTTTTTTTTTGTTGTAATTTGATATTTTCTCTAGAGTGTTGTTAAGGGTGCTTTCTATACTTTTAAATGGAAGACTTTGAGCAGTTAGTGCTAGGTTGTCAGCATATAGAAACAGCTGGATATGTGATGGGTTTGGTTGATCATTGTTATATTTCATAAATAGCAAAGATGTTAAACACTATCTTGTGCGTGTTGTCTTTTTGAGTCGACTATTTTCCGTGCAGCTTCACAAAGTAGCTTTTATTTCTTATCATATTGGTGACAAAGAATTTAGATTATAAATATTTGTAATGCCGTACATTTTTATGAAGAGAATTCTGTGGTTAATCGTGTCATATGCTGCTGTTAGGTCTATGAAAACGGCACAAAAATAGCGTTGGTATGGACTTCAAACTCTCAATAATTAGAAGGCATCAATCGTTCAAGGCTACATCCACTTTTTTCATGTGACGCAATATTCTTTATACTGGACATACATATTCGCCATATGAATAGCATAAGGAAAGTTCTGCAATATGTAATAGCTAAGGGTTAGGTCTTTATCTTGTTTCTGTTAATATATTTATTAGATTATTTCTTGTTGCATATTCATTTTAATTTTGTGCAATTACATTTAAAAGTTAACATCTTCTCTAAATGTCTCCTTGGTAAGTAGACGTATATTTTCAAGATAAATGCCTCGCCACAGTATATATTCAATTCTTTTCTTACCTGTTTTTTGTTTTTGTAGTCTTGGATGGAATTTTCTATTGTGATTCATTCACTCAATTACTTTCGTTAGATGATCTTAGTATTTTGTTTACTAGTATACTAGTATTTAGTATTTTAAGTACATCTTTAGATGATTTTTAAAAAACTTCAGTTTTATATGAAGATAAAAAGTGCATATATTCATTAAAAAAAAAAAATATATATATTTATATAAATGAAAATAAAAAATTGCTGTGCTAAAAATCATAATTAATAAAAAGTTGTGAACTGATTTACAATAAAATATACATTTTGTGATATTTCATTTTTTGAAATTTAAAAAAAAATATTCAATTTAAAGAAAGACATTCAATTGTTCCCTTAAAGTTTTTAGTTAAGTTATACAAATATTATGTGTTGTTTGCACATTTTTAGACTTAATTACTGTTTGGTATTAGATTTAATTTATATCATAAGTTTTTTATCACTAGAAATGATATTTAACTGTAATTTTTTGGTAGTTTAGTAATTTATTAATTTTACCAACTTAATAGGAATGGTAGCTTTTGCCTGTGTGGCTGGTTATGGAATTTATAAGTTCAAACATCGCAAAGGACCAACATCTTTATACCTTATTCAACTACGTTTAGCAGCTCAAGGATCAGCAGTTGGAATTATTGGTTTAGGCTTGTTTTATAATATTTATAAAGATGTAATTGAACCTAAGTTTAAATAGTTAAATAGTTTTTTTGTTGATTTCTTGTTAATAATTAGTATATTAATAATTTATTGTTTAAATGTATGTAATATGTTGCTATTTAAAAATAAGTGTCATTTAATTATTTGGTTTTTTTTTGTAAGATCTGAGGTAATGTCAATCAGTAATATCTTGGATTATTGGGCCAACATTTCATTACTTATGAAATTTGAGCAGAGAAGCATATAATAAATTGTATATTACGTGTTAAGTTTATACATGAAAACTATTAAGTAAAATCAACATTGATTCTGTAATTATTATACTTAACAACTATTATAGGTAAAATTGACTATTGTCGATTTTATATTATTTGGTTTTATCATAATCCACTATAGTTGAAATTGGGAAATATTCAGCTTGGGTATTTTTTCTTTTATAAATGACTATTGGATGTGTCTCATTATAACACCCAATATTCCTTTATTATGTGTTAAGAATCAGATTACATTTTAAAATAAATTTAACAAAAATTGGATCTGACCCCTGTTTGAAATCTGTGAATCATTTATAATTGATTCTTATGAATAAGTTTGTTTTTGGGAGGATATCAGCCCCCCAAACTTTTATTAAATTTATTCATTTTTAAAATGCATTTTTCTTTTTTTACTCATTGAGGTTATTTAATTGGCTAATTTATCACATAAAGTTAGCAAATTTCACTTCACAATCTTCCAAAAATTATTTCTAGGATTACTCCTGCTAGTATTGTACTAATACAAAATTATTAATTTATTTTGAAAAAAATAATTTTTAATTTTGCTTAGTATTATTAACTAGGCTTCCCCTAGTTGGGGTTTTGCACCAGACTTGGAACCATACACCCAGATAAAAACCTCGATCTATATAATAAATTCATTGTTCAATTTGATAAATATATTATTACTATTGAAACTATGATATATTTATCAATATGATAATTTTTTTTCTTGTCTTGAACAATAATTATTTATAAGAATAATTATTTTGTTCGTATTAATAAAACATTATCATAAACCCTTGATAAAATTTCTCTATCAAAATTGATTGAGGTTTTTCTTTGGGTGTACGAACATCACGCGCCTTCGTCGTGTAAGACTCTTTGGGCAGTTTTTATAAGTAAACCACTGATTCCGGTAGGAGTACCCGACGACTATAAGTGTTTTGCAGGGAAAATATTACACCAGAATAAATGTAACAAAAATAAATTAAAAAAAGAGAAAATAGTACGATGTATTGAGTATAAGGTTGATGTTTGTTATTGAGGTATTCACTTGGGTCGTATTCAGAAATTATTTTAAGAGGGTATTTAATTTATTTTACTTTGGCAAACACGCTATAGATATGTTTTTGTTAAAAATCAAAGTGATGATCAAAAAAAAGTCATTAGAGCCATGTTTCTTAGAAGTCGCCTAAAAAAAATTGATAGTGCTGGTTCAAGAGGGGCAGTCGCCAATATCTCCCTTAAATACGCCCCTGGTTTACATAATAATTCATAATATTCTAATTATAATAATTGTATTAATATTATAGAATGATTACAAAAATTTGGCAGGTTATTATTCCTAAGACTATGTAAGAAAGTCAATTTTGATGAGAATATTGGTTACTCTGATTTGACGTTGGACAACACAGTTGTCATAGATGGATCCTAATTTTTACGATAAACTCATAGACTTATACATCATATATAAGATAAATAAGATTATTAATACTGTACTATTCTGATAATGTACGTACAAACTTCTATAAGTTGTAACCGTGCTGAAATATATGTATAACTTATCAAACATTCCTTGATAAAATATATCGCTATACGCGAATGCAAAATCGTATCCTAATTTAAACTCTGGGTGGAAATAAAAAAAAAAGTTAAAAGCACATTTGAACAGTAAGCTGATTATAAAGCCAAAGTTCAAACAAAAGATATGTACAACAATAAACTTAATTAAATATATTAACAAATTCTGTAGTATAAACATATTTAAAATAAATTGATAGAAAGTATCTGTATACTTAATAAACTAAATATAATATATACAAATAACAAACATAATACAAAAACAAAAAGACAGTTAATAATCTAACCCAATCAATTCGAATATGACAACTATAACATATATATTAAATATGAATTAAAGAAAAAAATTGCTTTTCTACAAATTCAAAGTCAAAATATATGTTTGTGCAAAAATGAGACAATATCCTTTTCCCAAATATGAGCATGGATTTAAAAAAAAAAAATTTCGTAGATTGGTTAAAAATGAACGGATTGAATTAATTTTTTTATGATATCTCAGAAATGTCATTGGGCGGGTCTGGTGAATATTTCAAACCATAAGTCGTAAAACGCTGACGTCAGCGAGCGTTTTTCTCAAAAATGGTCGAAATTTTAAAACGCACGCGGGCGAGCGCTAAAAATTTTTCAACCTTCGCCAATAATTTTTCCGGGGTTTCGTGACCCAGTATTTTTGCTGAAAAAAAAAAATTTGAAAATCGAAGTATGCTAAGTAATAATCCCAGAAAATCGTTTTTTGTCTTGTTCTAATATATAATAAAATTTATAATTGCTTTAATAATTTTTATATTTATCCCTTATAAGGGTACCAACTTTATTATTTTAAATGACAATATATCTATTTAACTTGTTTATACAATAGAAAATAATACAACTAATAAATTACTGGTCGATAACAACTTGATTAAAAGATAAAAATTAATCATCATCAAACTCACGAAATATTCAACTTAGGGGTAAATGACTCACCGTCGGTAGTCGTTTTTTTTTTTCGAAACTACCAATCTTTATATATTATAACAGTTTATTCGGTTATTATGTTCTGTGACGCCTGATGGTTAATCGTCATTAAACTACACGCACATGGCGGTGAATCATACACTGAATCCCCTCCTAATAACAGTTTCAGACCGAAATATTCTTTCATATGCCCTCCACTGGCATAAAAGTATTCCTTAGATACACCACAGTAGTTCTTCTTCGAGTGTAGTATCAATATTAGACCGACTTTTAAGAGCTTTGTATACTTTTATTAATCTCATGTGGATTAACTCGTTATTATTACCGTCAGTGAGAATTTTAATTATACCAGGAATTGGCGTTTTGTATTAAGGATAACTATGCAAGACTAAAGAAAACTAGATGTCATTAATTAAGATTATCGCGTTCATTATATATTATAATTTTTAATTTGTTTTCCTATTAAAATTAGTATGTGATTAGGTGTAAAAAAAAAAAAAAAATGAAAAATCAACGAATATGAAGTGGAATATTTCTATCTATTTAAGTACTTATATTTTAATTTTATTTGGATACGGTAAGTCTTTGATTTTAATTATTAACTATATTGTACATAAAACTAATTTTTTTGGAAAATCATTATATCTTTTTAATACTAATTTTTAAATTTAAATATTAAACCTTTTAAAAGAAATTTTACAAAATATGAAATATAGGTGCAATTAGAAACAAAACATTTGAGGATCTAACTTAATTTCTCCCCTCCATAAAAGTATTTCAATTTAAATTTACCTGAAATTCTCATAATTTTTAGGTTAATAATTTAACATATAGTATATTTTATTTTATTTGCGTTTCCATGTTTAAAACAAACATAAAATAATATAACGTTTATTTAAAAAAAATGTAACTACAAAAAATTATCATTGATTAGAAAATAAATACATATTTATAAATATGCAGGTGTTCCATCAGGTTCCGACATCTCTAATGACTTTTGATCCAACGAATATTTTGGGTTACTTTTTTAAAAATAATTTTTACGGTTAAATAGATACAGTGGATATGTACTGCGGTTAGAGTGCACGTACACCAATACAAACTGTACACAACCGCCTTAAAACACAAATTATTTTTTGGATTAAAAGTTATAAAAGATGTCAAAACCTGGTGGGACACCTCATGTTCATTAGCTTCGAAGCTTATAAGAGAGAAGCTTTACTCTGGTATTTTTGTGATACTATACTTTAGGGGAAGCATTAGTTTGTGTGGCAGGCTAGGAAAAAAAAACAAATATAATCAATAAATTTATTAAAATTAAAAATAGACATCATGTAAACTGGACTATGATTTAATTTCAATTAAGAAAATAATAAAAAAAGGCACTGTTTGTCCTAGGCTAGTTTTTTTGAAATCTGGTACTCTCCGTTAGCTGTACATAAATAAAATTTCAATTACACACTGATAGTCAGCAAGTTTCTATGGATATACAAAGATAATAATGGAAACAAAAAAAAAAAAAATTGATTTAATATTTTATGATTTTTTATCCTTTGAGCTTTAAACCGAGGGTGACATATTACCGATCCCTATATCCTTGGGATGTACACAGTAACTATCGTGTAGATTTTCTATTTAACTTTAAACAAAAGGTGTTATGTTTCAAAATACTTATTTATTTTTTTAACTTCTTTAGTCATTTTGTCTTCAATGCATAGCTGAAATGCTATTAGTTTTACTATGCCGTGTTTTGTTTTATGTTACTATTGATTTTTGATTCTATTGAATCAATTTTGCTTAACAATACGTCAAAAGATCACAAACCGTAATTAGCTGATATATAAATGTCGTAATTTTGAATAATTTCTCATGATCTCTGTAAAAAAAAAAGTAATTTTTTTTTCTAGAAATAATTTTAAATATTTTATAAAATGGAAAATAGTCAATATTTGCTTAATTATTCAAAAGAATCTTTTCAATATTACGTACACGTAATATTACATAAAATAGGACTATAAATTTGGCACTACTGTCTCGTATTTTGCAGTTAATTATAAGTACTTTTTATGTGTTGTACTAAAATTCTTTAGTGTTACGTTAAAAACATTACGCAAGTCAGGAAAATTCAACAATACATATATTAATAATGCTACTTACTTATTAGTAATTAATATTAACTGAATTATGAATCAATTATGAATGAGATCCTTATTCCATTATAAGATTAAAAAATAAGCATAAAAAATTGTTAACTCTATACATAGTAAAATATGTATATCGTCATTAATGTATTAATATTTTACTTTAAAAATTCAATATAAAAATTGTATTTTTTATTTTTAATTATACAACTTTTTTTCGTTTAATATATTATAACGTTATCATATAAATGGTTTTAACGTTGTTAAAATTTTAAAAGTTATTCAATTTTTTTCGTCAAATGTTAAAAGAACTTGAAATATCTTTCACTATCATAAACAGTTTTTAAAATTGGCAAATGACTACTATTTGTTTACATTAAATTAAAAAACAATAACGTTTTGTTTTAATAATAATTGTTTATTGAAAGTTAAATGATATTTTATGTTTATTGATATATTTAATAAGTTTACATATTTTTGGCTTTTTTTCATGTTATGACAAACTTTTTCATTTTTAATTTTATAATTATAACGTATTGATAACGTTTTCTTGTCATGCTCAATGATGTAAAAAATACTTTTTAAATTGTACTGAATCTATTAAAGTAGATTTATTTGTTCTAATGTCACTTATAAAATTAATAGATAATAATAATAATGTTTTTTGTATTAGGTTGAACTCCGAATGCTTCAACTCCACTATTCTTGATCCCTTCTTAACTTTTTTAATTTAAATATTGATCTAATATTTATATTTTACACGTGTTATATCCTCGCAAACATTTATTTTAATAAAACATAAAAAATAATAAATGAAATAATAAAAGTTGGTATTTAAGGTTATCGACATTAACTATGTATTTTACACATACCAAGTGGCATTACATGTAAATGTGAAAAACTCCAAATAATAATTTGATAACAAGGTTGTTATGTTTTAGCATGACTCGTCATATCGTATTACAATTTAGGATTGTATGTGACTCGTTATAATAATACGATCAAGACATTTTTGACCTGATGTCGGTGGCAGCTGTGGTGTTTATGAGCACCCGGTGTTGTGGACCATAAAAAGTTGGTTTTTAGGACTGCTCATTGATGATTTAGTAAGGAGGGCTGTTTTCACTGGAATAGTTTTGGGCAGTGGAGTGAGGGAACTCTGTTTTGTAGCCTATAAATATACACACAATGTCAGTGCACGCGCGCGCGTTTTTGACCGTCACGGATGTCATTCGGCCAAAAGAACTCTATAGAACGACATACTGTGAGTCACACACATGCGCATATTCTTATGTTAAATTAAAATGCATACTCCACGGACTCTATTGTTGTATTACTGGAGATGGTTACAGTGATAGCAATAGTATGTTTGCAGTGTATTACTGTCTGCTGCTCTGATGTGCGGCTATGCGAGAAGCAGATGTTTGTACAACACGTACGAAGTACAAACAATGATAATAAATAATTATTGTCCAGCATTGTTTTTTTTTCATTTCTATATTGTTTTAACTGCATAACATATAATGTGTATGAACATTCATCATGACCACGAAAACCTTTCTTTCATCATGTATATGCTTTGAATTCTAAATTTATCACTATAAGTCACTATATGCATTTTAAGCATTTCACTTACATTCAACGGATAACATAATTTGGGGTTTTCCTCCTCTTTAATTATAAAATCTTTAAATTTACTAATTGTACATGTAGAATATATTGCAATTATACAGGAGGATGACAAGTTCAGTTAGGCAGTCCTCCCACGAGTTTCTTTTTTTGCTCCTGTAGAGCAAAAAACATGAAAAATGTTTTAAAATATATGAATGACTAATTTTTTTTATATAAAATTCGGTTGTTTATAAAATAGCATCACAGTAAACAGATTTAATAAAAATTAAAGACACAATACAATGACAAATTAGTCTATTTTATGATAATTGTTTAGAAAAGCAATTTAATGAAAACATTTTTATTAAAAGTTATGGTCATATGATTTTTCCATTTTAAATATCTCCATTAATAATAAAAATATATAACTCATATGATAATTGAAATACGCAAAAAAATTATCAAATAAATATTTTTTTTTAAAGTTGGATTCGCCTGCTTGATTGCCTGTGGCAATGATTTTTTTGCAATTTTTCCTTAATTCTTTTTGATTTCGAATTATGCTTTTGAATAATCCACCAATTTCTTAAAATTAAACAGTATTTACAGATTTGCATGGAAGCGTTTCTTATGTTAGTGATTTTAATCACTTTCAGATATCTCTGCTTGTCCTAACTAAGCCTTATCCACACTGTGCCACGACCTCATTGTGCTATCGTTTTTTATAACTAGAATTTATTACACCCATAATTTAATTTAAAAACTAAATGTGTTATGTAATTAATAGATTAAAATTAATTAACTTTATTTTAATTTTTGTTTAATTAAAAAAAGTTAAATATAAGTATGTTACATAAATTTAAACTTCATTATGCTCCATGCTCTTCTACTAACAAATTATGTAAGTGAGCGATTTAATAATTTAATCTTTTCTTTTTTTAATTTTCAACTAAAAAATATCCTTAGAATGAATTATTTCAACTCTTATATTACAATATGTTATTTTTTTAAAAATATTTCATTGGCATTTAATGAAAATTATAAAAGAATAATTAGTAGTAAATTTAATCAATACTATAAAATAAACTCTAAAGTAAAAGAGGACATTTAAAATTAATTAATTTAAACAAAACTTATTCGGAAATCGATAAACTATTATGTAGGGTATAAGATGTATAATAAAATATTAAATACATGAAAATTGATGTGCTCTGGAATAAGTGGTAAGAAATTTATAAAATGTTTTAATTGACTTTTGAATCTTAAGACTGTATTGGAAAATTAAAGTGTTAATTGTCAAACATTTCATTACATTACTCAAGTACAATCAGTCTTGTAAAGTTTAAAAAAGTTTAAGTATTTATATATATTTACTTAAATGTAAATGTGTTTAAATACTAATAAAGTATTAAAGAAACTTTTAAATACTTTTTTTACGATGTTTAAGATAAATTTAAAATAGTTCTATCTATTTATCTGTACTTTAAATATAAATACGTTTTTTTAAATACTATAGAAAAATAATCAAATTATTAAATTTAAATATTAGCGTGCATTTATAATGTTATCTGATGGAATAACAAAACCTAGTTAAAATATACTAGTTACTCCACAAGTAACTCTTGAAGAGTAACAAGTACTCTTCATAGATGTTAATAGATTAAATGTACATGTATATTAAGCCTTTTATGAAAAAAGTTTTTATTCTAATATGGTACTCCGTTACCTTTAAGTGCTACTGTAGAGTGTATATTTGTTGTTAGTAATACTGTATTCAGAAAAGAGGAAATATAGGTGATAATCATATGAAAAAAAAAAAATTCTC